GAAAATCTGACCGAAATTTTAATAAATTTCTTGCTGCATTACCGTATCAAAGAATGTGTATCATTGTATAACGCAAATTTAATGTGATTAATTTAGTACAGTATATATATTTGCTTTATAAATGTAATTAAGAGGAAATTGTTAAATTTCCATCGATTAACTGCCACCCGAATCATAACGCCATTACCGAGTTACTTTTTCCAACAACGACTTCGCCGAACGACATCATTCCTTCCATTTTAGTAACACTAATTATAATGCAGTTGTATTTTTTGAGTAAAAGTAATGACCGTAAACCGTGATTTTTGTCGTTATTTAGCATACGTCAAATACACTTACGGGGGATGGACAGCAGTAAATCGCAAATTAATTAACGCCAATTGTAATGACCTGTTATTTCATCAGCTTACGATTATGGTGGAACGTTATATTTTTCAAAGTACCTTTTACGCTACGGTAAAGAGGTGTTATTTTTTTTTACAGATAACGAGCAAGTAACGATAACGAGTTACTCTTTTCGAACTGAGTGACGGTAACGGCGACAGTTATTTTTTAAACTGAATTTTCGAACTGAACGGTAACGAGTTACGGTTTTCATCAAATAACGATGTAAATAACGATGACCGGTTTTAAAAAGAATTTTTCCAGCCGTGACTCGACGAGGTTAACGCGCGACACTGCCGGGAAGGAAATAGAACCGAGGATTGCGGGCGCACACCGAGTGTCCTTTTTAATAACAGCCGCCTCCGTCGCCGCCGCAAGGTGATTAGTGGGCCGAATCCCGTTTCGGCCTCTATAAATTCCGAGCGAACCATTTTCTCATCGCATGCAGCTGTTATCGAGAAAACGCGAGTATTGGCAATAACGTCTGATATAACTGCGTCACGTCCTGTCGCCGGCATCCTCCGCGTTTCTTCACTCGGCGACCTCCCACGTGCCCCCTCGCGCGCGTTCATTCACCCTCTTCCCGGCTCCTTAATATTTGCAATATCGGCGATTCGTATGGCCATCCCAGCTCGTAACTCACTTTTCACGCGAAGGAGCTCCGCTATCCTGCCGTATCCACGGACGTAACAGGGATAACGAGCAGGAGGATCCTTAATACGCATAGGTCCGTGCCACTCGGAGGATCGTTTTGCTTTATCGAGTGTGTGTAGAGGGGCATAGGGAAAAATTGGCTTAGTTCTTCGCGCATACATCGTCGTAGAATGTATTGTTTCTCATAGATGGATCCCGCCACGGAAATTGAATTACAACTTCGGAACGACGTAATAAAACTCCTCACCCTCGCCGCACGCATATTCTACGTCGCACTGGTCGGGCGTGACAAGAAACAGCAGCAGCGGCGAAACAATCCCGACTATTCTCTCTAGGCGGTATATATATATATATATATATATATATATATATATATATAAATTATATTGCGGTACTTATATATATATATATATATATAAATTATATTGTACATTATATGAATCACATAAATAAATTATTAAGTATCATAATTACATTATAAATCTGATTGCTTTAACAAAGCAAGTAGAACGGAGACTTCCGTTCGGTCTAATTTTCAACAAATTATTTTTTTCTAACTTAGCATATTCCAGAAAGCGCAAATATGTTGCTAATCGTTGGTACAAATTACATATATTTCCGTTTAATGTCTTGAAATGCCATTGTTCGGAACATTTTTCACTTTTGGTTTATTCATCTTGTAATCGTTACTTTTAATACAATTTTTTTTTTATCACGTTTTGCTTTTTTTTTTTTTTACTAAAACCTGTTTAGAGAAAAAAATATTTTTAATTTCCGCTGCAAGATTGCTCCAAACTTCAACTACGTTGTGGTGATATTTACATTCAGTAGCGTCTGTATTAAACCTCCGATATGCCAATATTACACAGATATCGCATGGAAATTTGTGGTATTGGTATTAAGCAAAGTTTCGGTTTAATACGCGGTATTGGACATAAAAACATTTTTTTAAATACCGTTATTTACACAAATCGGATTTTTCGATTGTTGTGTAATGGCAAAGCCGGTGTGAAAACCGGCTTTTTTGATACCGGTTTCAATCCCCGGCTCTATCGACCGACGAGAAGCAGACCGTGATTCGCGATGGAAATGCAGAGTGTGTTTAACACGTTCAACACAGCGAGAAGAGGCCGTTAATCATTTATCTCGAGCACCTCCAAGGTGCTGACGAACAATGGATATATATCGTTTTTTGCCTCTTTTTCTTTTCGTTTGTTTTGATTTGTTTTTTATTTTTTTCAATTTTTCCTTTTAAGTGGCACGTACAACCGGGCCGCTGCGGAAAATGGATCCTCCGATACCGCCATTGTTGGCCGGCGTGATAAACTGACCCCGCATACGTCTTCTTTTGTTTCAGAAATGCCCCGCGTGCTGTTACGTAACCATTTATTTTTTTAGTCCGACACCGATTTCGTGCATTGTATCCCGTGATTCAACTTTACTCGCGGCAAAGAGAAACGATGGCCGCGGAAGTGTCGCCCGCCGCGTCGTCGAACATCGAATTTGCTTTTGATCGTTTCGATTGTTCGGTCGCATTAATTAATTACACCGCCGGCTAATTCATTTTTTCTTCCAGCGATTGTCAACGAGCGAAATTCATCACTGAGCTTGGGAGCACGTTTTTGTTTCTAACACGGAAGAGAAGGTTTGGTCAAATTTATCTGACAATGAGCAAAAAAAAAACAAATGTGCGTTTTGACTGAAGAGAACGGGATTTTATTTGCTCGGGAACAGAAGTTTATTCGGTTTGGGGGTAGAATTCGGTTATAAGAGTCGAATTTGATTCATAAGTACCAGAACTTCCGTTTCCTTCAACCGAAACATCTTCGGTTTGCTCATCGTCAGATAAATTCAACCTAACTTCCGCCGTGTAATGTTTGCGAATTCGCGAAAGTCTTTAACTGAGGACCGAGGAAGCGGGCAATGCTAATTCTCCTCTTCGAGATGCAGATTCTTTATCCTCGGCTAAATAGTCACGAGCAAACCGACACTGATTAGTCGTGTGGCGAGCGTAAACATGTGTCTCGTTTTGCATTCGGTGCCCGAGGTGGCCGCGGTAGCCGAGGCGGAGGATTCCGTGTACGTAACGAGGGTGAGTTTTATGGGGTCGTTCGGCCGCTGTAATTCAATTTAACGCCGACATCGCGGACTCGGTTTACGAAGATTCCAGGATGTTGCAAGATTATACGAGCGCATGGCCGACCGATTTCTTTCGCGAAACGCAATCATTTTCCCTCGTTTCGCGAAATTCGAGAGAGAATTAAGCGAATTCACGCGTTTTCCCCTTAAATCCTCAACACATTTGTATCTGATTATTTAATTAACATTAAACATTTTTTTTCTCAGTGTATTGAAGCGCAATAGAATCGACTTATCGAATAATTATTTATTTAAATGTGAAAACCTCGAAAAAAAGAGATCGTATCAGCACTCCTAAGAAATCACATTAACAAAATGTCATGTTATTTTTCAATTTTGTATAACTCGAAATGTGTACAGTTGAATGAAATGTCAAATAACGAACGAAATACGAAAAAATGTACATATATTTGTGTGATAATATATATAATTATAATATATAAAAATTACAAACTATAATACGTAGTTTTCCTCGTGGTCTTTGCATGCAAGGAGACACGTTAAATAATATGCACATGGAAAATTATCCGTTATTAAATCGTACGTAAAGGGGTTAAGCCGATATATGTATTAGAATTAATTATGTATTAATATTAATTACATATTAGAGTTAATTACATATTTTTTATTTTATTTTTATTTTATTGAAATTACGTTAAAGGGTTAAGCTGATATATGTATTAGAATTAATTAGCTACGTATTACAATTAATTACATATTTTGTATTTTATTGAAATATGTAACAATGATAAATTGAAATACGTGGTTTTCCTCATGGTGTTTGCATGTAAAGAGACGCGGTAAATAGTTAAATAGTATAACACGTGAAAAATTACCCGTAATTAAATTGTACATCAAGGAGCGGAGCCGACATGTATATTAAAATTAAAATAATAATTAAATTAATTATATATATGTACGTATTAGAATTACATATTTTTGTATTTTATTCAGACATATAAAAATTACAAACTGAAACATGTATGTTTTCTCGTAGTCTTTGTACGCAAGGTAAATTGTACGTGAAAATATTAAGCCGATATTATAAGTATTATAATTAATCATGCACGTATTAGAATTAATTACACATTTTTCATTTTATTGAAATATATGAAGATCACAAACTGAAATATATAACAGACTGAAACGATTTTCCTCTTGGTCTTTGCGTGCATGCAGAGGCTATACAAAGGTAAACAGTATGCACATGGAAAATTACCCGTAATTAAATCACCCACCAAGAAATTAAGCCCCGAGTCTCGTCTTTGAAGAATAAAATTCATCATTTTTACAGCGAGAACAATCGATTACCGGCGTGTTCGTAGAGCGAAGCACACGCGATGCTCTCATCGCTCGGTCTTTCGCACGTGAAAAAAAAAGGGGGAAAAAAAAGAGAATCGAGCTCATTAACAAAGGCACGTCGTATTCGTGCATTTTCATGGCGATCCGTGTGTGTTGTGTAACGGCGTTATCGCGGCAGCTCAAATATTTGTTCGAGCTGTGAGTGCGCGCGCGCGCGCTCTCGTCGATGCGCGACGAACGCATTACGAAAATGCGGTCATTATGTATGCGTTGTCGGTGGGAATTACTCGACGCCGTTATATAAACGACACAGGGCTTTCGCACCCGAGGCGCGTGCGATTCGGCTGTGACTTCGGCAATGGCGCAAACATTTGCGTTGGGGTGTTTAACGGTTCGCCGCGACACACGGAACGCGACGCCTCAAACCAATCCAGTTCGCCGCCTCACGGAGTTTGACGTCGTTTAATCGGTCGCCGGAGACCAGGGAGTCCTCGTCGTCACGGCTCTCCACTCTCTGCAAGATGATCAGATCGATCGTTCTTGTTCTGTTTCTACTGCCTCTGTCGATCAGCAGCGAGGAATGCCTGAACAACACCCGCGCGAACTCGCGCGTGGCCTCGCGGCACAAGCTGAAAAGAAGCCTCACTTTCCCCGATACGTCGATGCTTCTGGTACGTAACCGCCGGCCGAACCGGCGTCCAATTCTGCGGATGATTGTGCTCGCCATAATAGGGAAGCCCACGAGTTGAAAAGAAACGATCGGGACGAAGTAATCGTGTCGTTTATTCGACTCGACCGAAGCACCGGGTGTAAAGTAACTTTTGGATATCGCGCTAACGAACGTCGAACGAATCGGTCAACTGAAATGTATTATGAAGGAAATGGCAATTAAGTAAAGATAATGTACAAGAAATCAATAGAAATTAGGAGGTGGAAAATTGTGAAAAATGCATTATGCAATTATGGAAAGAATATCGCTTACGCCGAATGCCGATTTCTCAGCCGGTTCTGAGGATGACTTTCGTTAAATTGATTGATCGAATTAATCGATGAATAATAAGAAAAAATACTTAATTTGGCTTTCGAATTACCGCCGAGTTGCCCTTGTTTCGTTTTACTGGAATAATATTTAATATATAATGAAATTAATATATAATATTTAATATATAAATTTTTTCATTGAAAACGAAATTAATTCGTTTAATTAATTCTTTTTTTTTTTTCTATAAAACAACACGGTTTACTCTAGTAAAACATTTTCATTCAAATAAAATCATATTTGATATTAAATAATGTTGTTCATATTAAATAAACTCAAGCTAAGCAAACATATATTACATATTAACATATTACATATTAAATCCAAAGAAATTTTTTTCTTTGTGTATTTATTCGCACAGCGCGAAAACCTAAAATATCACAATAATAAAAATTGCCAACACTAATCTTTAACTCTATAGTGTAATTTGCCGTTTAACCACAATCGACAAGTTAATAATTTCTAATTACGTTAAAAACATAAAGTAGGTAATATATGACTGGCAGCAGTTTTAAATCGTTGATTAAATTAATCAGAGTTCGACGAAAGTCACCCTATATATGTCAACTTCAACTTTTTCTCAATATTCTGTATTCGGAAGAAAAGAAGGAGGATTAATTAATACTCGTCCCAGCGAATTTTCTGCGAACTACATTGAGAAAAAATATTTAAAAAAGTTATTTGTAGGATATAAAATTAATTTCACAGAGAAATAAGGTTTATTTCACAGAAATAAGATATATTTCAGAAATCTGGCGTATTTCACAGAAATGAACTTAATTCTCCAGAAATAGATTTTTAACTACTTTTCTCAATGAGACAAAAATATTTAAAAATTTATTCGCGGGATGTAAGGTTTATCTAATTCACAGAAACAAATCTCATTTCAGTGAAACAAACCTTATATCCCGCAGATAAATTTTTAAACACTTTCTTCATCAGTGCATTCATGAACACTTGATTCATTCATTTCAGCGGACGAGCAGGTGGGTAGCGGGTTTACTTTAACATTCTCACTTGCGCATAATTCCAATGCCCAATCGTGTTCGTGCATGTATCCTCCTACGGCCAATTTTCCGTTCAATTTTCCGCGACAGTTTCGCGTTTTCGCGCGCTGCACTCTCCGACGTTTCGCCCTTTGACTGAGCGGCGTGAAGAAAATCGAGCGGTCGCAAAGTTCGTTACTCGCCTCGAGAGTACGAGCGCGTGTTTTGTGTTTTTCGGCAACGCGCTTAATTACATCTCTCTCTCTCTCTCTCTCTCTCTCTTTCTCTCTCTGAGTTTATGCCGGCATAAAATTATTAGACTCTCATCTCGACGGCCGGACACGAGCATGTAGCGACAACGCGGTCTTTCGTGGTTCATTCAATTTCCACGACAGCTGACGGAGAAGAGCGGCCGCGCGCACGTGCGGAGACGGAGCGCCGCGGACGCGACATGTGCCGGGGCGCATATGAATTTCGATAAAACCGCGAATTTCCAACGGAGAATCGTGCCGAGCGGCGTCTGCCGGTGTCTGGCGAGGACAGTTTAACGAGATTCGTCCTGGGTTTTGTACGAGATGAAAAGCGTTTTTACGTCGCGGCGCGAGACCCCGACCAACGAAATCGATACATTCCACGGGCTGCTGACAGATCACCGGCTGTTCCCTGTGACGCACAAGAGAGATAGATAGAGAGATTGAGAGAAAGAGAGAGAGAATGCAGAACTAATCGAGGACTTAAGTCGGAAAATGGAGTTTCGACAACGTCACGTTTTAAAAGCCTTTCGAGTGGCGAGTAAATATATATTTTTATTTATTTCGGACTTTCCCGAGAGTCTCGGATCGGCCAGTGTCACGCACGTGTGTGTATGTGTGCGTGTGATTCTTTCTTTTTTTTCTTTTGATTTTCGGAATCAGATCTCGAGGGCTTCGGATACATATACATATATCCGTGTTACACGGTATCATCTGGAATGTACATAAGAAGGCAGTCACGTGCGCTCGATGTTAATGAGATTTTTATTACGTGGCTCGCCAGGTCAAATTTTCTTTCATCTTTATTTCAAGTCGCATTAACTTATAAATATTATCAGCGGTGCTACAAGTGCACTACTTCTTTGACCTAGTTTTGTATGCTAGTCCTGTTGCTCCACGTGTTTGCGTTTTTGTTCTACTATAATCCGTTTGATTCAAGTGTCTTTGAGATTGGATTGGCGAATCAACTAAATTATATTGCAGATATTTCGTTGCTCTCCAAAATTTGCTTTAGATCTTCCTGCACACCCAAATAAAATTATTCGCTCACGTTGCTTCAATTTGGACATTCTAATTTTAAATGTGGAAGCTACATTTATTCGGGGTAAATGTAAGTGTTAGCATACGTAATGCGCGGATAAACCGCTTTCGGCAGCGTGAATTGAAAGTAGCGTAAAAACGGTCCGTGTTGAATATCAACACCATGAGCTGATATCAATATAAGCATTTGTTACAATTGTATGTTACAACGGCATTCTTTCTAACGTAGACACGTATAATTATGTATAATCGCACGCAGTCACACAGAGAGACAAAATTCACATATAATCGCTTTAAAGAGAGACAGGTCGTTTAAAAACGTAATCGTGAATCTCGAAACGCTAAAAACAATCCAAACACGTAACAACATAGAATTTTATTAAAATTTCATATTACCACCATGCTTGGATTTCTTTTCCACATTTCGAGATTGTTTTGACTCTTGGACGCCCGGTTCCTCTTTCATTTCTTTATTACACGTAAACGCTAAAAGGAATTAAAACATACAATAACACAGAATTTGATTTAAATTTCATATCATTACATATTTCGATTTCTTTTTCATATTTCAGCATCCACGTTTAGGCCCATAAACGGCCCTCTTTAATCCCTCTTTCATTTTTTGATTGTATATCAGAGGGCCTTTATTTCAGTTAAATTTATCATCGTTTTTCCCGAATCTATAATGAACCTTTCGTTCATGTTTCTCGATAGCGCTGGACGGTGGTGGTGTACGTTGTCAAGAGTTAGAGAGAGAGAGAGAGAGAGAGAGAAATAGAGAAAGGTGAGAGGGGGGGGGGAGGCATAAGCATTCGTGTCGGAATTACGCTCGCGATCAATTACTCGCACATAATGTGGGCTGCCGGCGCATTGTTTGCAGGCAAGCCGGCGAGCCAACCAGCCGGCCGGCCGCGAAAGAAATATACCGCGCGTCGGTCTCCTTTTTTCCCGGCAGCGCGTGCATTTTCGGGCCGACCCGAACCCGGGTGCTACCTACCTACCTACCGGGGGATTCGATCGTGTTCGCCGCCGCCATCCAGATTCTCCGGGGCAGCGATTCTACGCGGAAATTTGCGGTTTTATCGGAAATTCATACGAGAGAGGCGGGCCGCGTGCGCTCCGCACGAGCCTGGCGCGGAAATTGGATCAACTTCGTCGTACGATCATCCGGAATCTCCCGCCGTGGTCCATCGCGAGGGTGTATTCATCGCGGGCCGGCGACTTTCGCGCTCGCTCGTCCGAATTTGATCACGCTCTCTCGCTCGCGACTCCGAAATATTATCACTGATTCGGCGCTGGGGAGGTTTCCCCGGCGGGCGGGAAAAAATAATCGAGAGAGTCGACGGATATACCCCCGAATTGGGCCGGCGGGGTCGCTCGCTCGCGAGTCTCTCCGGCGAGCATTCCCGGAAACATTTCACCCTGAGCGAGGGCGGGAGCGCGTTATTGCATTTCCCCGGTGCGCGCTCGCTACTCGCTATCTCGCGCTTTTACAGCTGATTTTCGGTCTGGGCACTCCGCTGCAGCTGGACCGCGAGAGCGTGATCGTGGGTGTGTTTGCAAAAATGCAGTACACCTTGCCGAGCAACGCCACGGATTTCACGGAGCCGGGGGTGTATTACACGCGGGCGAGCGGCAGCAGGTGGAGCTTCTACAAAATGTTCGAGAAAGTAATGGCCATGTACGGCTTTGGTGGCAAAGAGTGTTTACTGAGGGCCATCTGCGAGGTCGCCTACGTGCCATTCGACGTTCAGCACGGTTTGCTGGGACAGTTGGTGCAGACTTTTCTCAGGTAAATGAAGATAACGCGTCGTACGCTCGAGTACACTCCTTCCCCCCTCCCCCCCTCTCTTTCCCAACACATATATACACATATATTTAGATATATACACGGACGAGTGTTACATTTGAACTTTGCGTCTCCCCGGTCGCGCACGATGGAGGAAAAGGTCCCGCACAGGTCGCAGCGTCAATCACGAGCGGGAAAAACGTAGCGCGGATGCGGCGACGGTATTTAATAAACATCGCGTCAAACCACCCCCTCGCCGGCCCGCGGGGAATTTCCCGATAACCATATTCGCGACTTTCCCGATATTTCCGTCGTCTCCCGGATCTACCTGCGTACGTACAGGCGGCGTCGTGTACGCCGTTCCCGGAGATAAAAAATTACAATTTTTGGCCTTACATGCGCGCACGCAGAGAAGGGGCTTCCTTGAGTTTGATGAGGTTTCTTCAACCGAAACAAATTTGTCTTTTGGAACGGAGCGGACGAATGAATGATTCAACATAGAGGATTGCTTGGTTTCTCAAATAATGTAAATGTCTTTACGTCGAATAACATAGTTTTTTTTGTATTTTTATTCAAACATTACTATGGTTGTCACAAGCAATAAATTATTTTAAGGAAGGAAATTATTTTAAGGAAGTGACGTTATTATGTTAGAAAAATATTAAAGAACTTCTTTGTTTCTTTGTTTCGGCGGAACAATATTTAATATACACGCAGTTTTCAAGTTTTTAAGAAGAACCGTTTTCTCCCTGATTTTCCTGCAAATTTCTGTCTCATGGGCACAAAAATTCGTTTAGAAGAATTCACGTATGTGTTCGGTGAAAATCTTCCACATTTACTTTCCTCCGTAAGAGAGATAAGAAAGCCCGAAAAATTCGCGGAAAAATGAGGAGAATACGGTGTTTTTCCCGCAAACTTAAACATTATAAATTTACATATAACGAAGTATATTTTTTCATTGAAAACCAAATTAATTGCTCTTTAAATAACACCGTCTCTCTCGGTTAATTTTCTTACTTAAGTCTTACCGCCTTTTCTGTGTGACATGCGGTTCTATAAGGCTGGAAATCGTGTGCTGAAAAAAGGATTCGGTAACAATTGCCAAGATTTGATTAAATAATCTCAATCAAATTGTTCGCTTACTGCAGCCACAAATCATTTAGTACTACATACTGTATTGTAGTACCATATACTGTATACAGCTATGTAATTACGCAGCTAAACCAAGTCGGCGCCATGTACTGTATACATTATTTGTATGCAGTATATGGTATTACTGATTTCTTTTCCAACCTGATTTATTTTCCAAAAGTAACCAAGCGATTTAGCTGAGACTGTTTAACCAAATCTTGACAATTCTTACCAAATCCTTCTTTCGATGATGATACGTCGTACATAACGCCGTACGTACCGTACGTACGTACACGCGTACCGCTATAATTTTTCGCAGCTATCGTATACCGATTCCATGGGATTCCAGGCCCTCCAGTACACAGGAGGAATACGACGAGTACGGCGATCGGGAATACCAGGCGGCCGAGCGGCTGGGCGAGCAGGTGGAGGGCGAAAACTGCCACGCCCTTTATCCGGAATGCCGCGGAAGTGTGTTGGACGTGTTCTCAGCGTTGGTCGCGTGAGAAAACCCAATGGAAATTAGCCGGGATGGCTGCCGGGTCTGCTAATGAGTCTCGATAAATACGTCGGGGGAAAGAATTGGTCGCGAGTGTGCGAGCGACCCGACGCTTTCCGGGCGCGCGCTCGAGAGAGACACGGGTATCTCGTAGCCGTAGTTGAACTTTGACACCGTTCTCGCCTGGCTGGCGAGAGAACGAGATTCCCGATCACGAATAATCCATCTGCACTCGACGTTTCGTCCCGTCGTTCCTCCTCCGATGGAGAGAAGCCGGCGAAAGCGCTTTCTTGCAACTCGCTCCTTCTCTCACCGTTCGTTCGTTCCTTCCCTATTGGCATTCCTTTCCTTCCCCGATTCCGAGTTTCATTTTCCTAAAAGTGCGCCGAAGAAACACGGAGTTTCGCCGGCTGGAATGCCGGTATTCGATATTAAAGAATCTTCGGTATTCGCTGCGCCGGCCTGCTCAAGTTTATCGCGGTTTTTCCGTTACTTCGGGGATGCCCCCGAATAATCAGCCGAAGGAAAAACTCGCCGAAAGTTTCCCGCTTTCGCGGAAAGGCGACTATCGCTACCTTTTTCTTTCCCCTTTCCTTTTTCTGCTGCATGCTAAGATAACGCTCTTCTTGACATTTCCTTTTTTTCCGATTGGGGAGACCCGGTTTTCGCGAAAAGGAAGGAAAGAGAGAGAGAGAGAGAGAGAGAGAGAGAGAGAAAATACGGTGGAGCAGAGCATCGATTAGCTTCGTAGGACGTTGAATTGCGCGAAATCGCAAGTCCAAATTTGTAGTAATAAAAGAAGATGCATTTTAGACGATTCAGGAAGCACTCAGGGATCATTGATTTCACCTTTTTCTTTCTCTTAATTTCACTTGCTGAATCCGAAAATCATAGCCAAAATAGTAACTTAGTCTTAGTATCCGGCAAAAAATTTGGGGCACATTTTAAGCAAAAGAAAGTAACGGTTGATTTTATCACTTTGCCGCAAATTTTTCCCAATATGTTTTAATTAAAACCGTGACTCTGACTGCAGAATAAAGAAGATTTCGTAATCTTCCTCGAAGATTTTTATTGTAAAGCGTTTATGAAGCGGAATATTATGTATTGCGTTAAAGCCCACAGCTAAACCAGTAAAGTTAGTAAAAATACAATAATTGAAAATTGAATAAATATCTCTGACATAAAATGTACATAACAAAAATCAATCTCGCGAAAAATTATTGTAAACAAATTACTAAATATCGACGTAAAAGAAAACTGATTAGGAGAACAAATTACAGAAAAGAAGTTCTTATTTAGAAACTTATCTAATTAGAGAAGTTAACCTTTTGACAGCTAATCTTACTTCCTCGCTTCTTGAAAATTTGTAGTACACGTAACATGAACCATAGATTTTCAGTGCTGGTGGTGAATTTCAGTGAAATATACTGCTGGAGGCCCGCTTGCTCCAATCCGTTTGTATCTATGCGAATAAGATGATTCCGACATTTCGAACGCCCAATGACGCTCTTCTATTTATATCTAGGATCCCATTTTGTGAAACTCAAACCTATTCGATATATCGTTCTTAATCCTTTGTGTTGGCGTTTAAATTGACACTCAGAGAGAACGAAAGCACACATTACATTACGTGGCTGAGACGTGCTAGGCGATTTTGGCTGGTAAACAGTAGAACGTCTGGGAGATGTGATTCCGAGGCAAGGGGTTAATTTAGTTTGTGCGTGCGTGTGCGATAGGGCACGCACGCACATACAAACACACACACACACACACGCACGCACACACACACACAGAGGCACATATATATGTTTCCAGTAATGATGCGCATTGTAACCGCATCCGCATCTATGCGTTGTGCATGTGGTTGTCGGCTAATTATTAGATAATAGGCGTATTAGATAGTTAATTATTAATCGAGATGATAGATAATACATATATAAAATATCAATATTGAATCATATAATATATATAAACCTGTATATGTATAATTAACTAAGAAGGCGAATGTTAGAGAGACACCCTTATCTTTTCGAACACATTGTGTACCTGAGGAGGATGAAGAAAATACATAAGTCTGGGAACCTGAGGAGGAACCTCCGAGAAACTCAATTAATTTTAGATCCGCATCTTCGAGATAAGTTAAACAAGTATGAATAAATCCTCTATGATTGAGGACCTCTTCTCGTCGGATCGTTGGAAGAGCCGGTACGAGAGCCCGAGTCGCGAGTGTTAGTATTTAAGTGCCACACTCCGCGGTACGCCGTACGCCGATCGATCGCACTGATCGTCGAATTTCGGATAGACGATCTAATTAGCAATTAATACGTTGAGTACCGATCACGAGTGACTTCGTATCGCTCGCGTGCGAAAAGAATTCTCTGTTCTCCTCCAGATAACTCTGCACAAGATTTTTTCGCGGGAATCAATTTTTATTGCGAATTTTGCCGCGAATAATAAATATAATTGTTCATTTAACAATGATAATAAGTATAATTAATTAGTATAATAGATGATAATAAATACAATTAATTATAGTGATATATTAATGATAGATAATTATAAATATATAATTAATTAGCCTAGTAGATGACAATAAATATGATTAATTAGCATGACAGACAACAATAATAATAATAAATATGATTAATTAGCACGTATCAAATGACACGTTGATTCGAAAGCGACGTGGGGAACAGAGTTCTCCAACGTCGCCGCGGCAGTCGCTTGTTAACAACGGACGATTCGACCTTCTCCGAAGGAAGAAGAGCTTTTCAGTCTTTCGCCCTTTTTTTCGGCGACGAGAGAACAACACCGCGACTTCTTCGTCTTTCCTTCGTCGCTCCTCCGGTTCTTCTTTCTGGCTCGAATATTTCGGCGCTCTCGCAAGATCCCGAAGCGTGCCTCTCTTGCTTCTCATTCGGCAGGATACGGCTTGTCCTTGGAAGCGGTCGTGGTGAATAAAAACGATTTACTGCCGCGATATCCAACGTCGATATTTTCTCCCCGGGAGGAACTACATAACGCGCGTATAACACGAGAAATTGCCGAAGCAACGTCATTCTTGCCGCTCGAGGAGCGCGACTCAACGATACGAACGATCCTATCGGCGCGATTCGCTCGCAGAGTTCCGCTCGCTCGTCGCAGCCCGGTGGATTAGAACGGCCGTACTAATTAATTGCCGCGAGTCCGATTCCGTTTCGTTTCATCCTAATTGTATGTATCCTCCTCGTCATCGCCGTCTCAGCCACGAGATTCCTTTCCGATTCGGCGGGCACCCGCTGACGAGGAAAGAGAAAGAGAAGGTGAGGGAAGGGAAGAAGAAACGCAAGGAAAACCTCGAATCTTCCTCGCCCCAGCATCGTCCGGACCATTCGAGGGCGACCTCGCGACCTTTTGCGGAGAATCAATTTCAGGAGCGAGAGAGGAAGAGAGCCCGGCGGGGGAGGGAAGGGCCGAGTCTTATAACCCGCGCACAAATGCACACACTCGCTTGCGCAACCACGCGGACATAAAGTTACGCGGCGTATCTCGTTCATGTCGGTCATGAAAAGTGCTCCTTTTCTTCTTCTTTTTCGCCGATGTATCTGAATTATTCGCCGCTACCAGCACGGAATTACCCGGAGTCGGAGTTTCGATGCCGCTTGGTGAATCGCCCTCGGGTTCTGCTTTGGCGCTCACGGGTCAGATTGACCCAAGTGGAACATTAGGATCTCACGGTTGTTAAATCTTGAAAATTATTGCACGTATTAACACATATTGTTTCACTTCTTCCTATGGGGAATCAACGTACTGTCTTCGCTTATATCTTGAAAATTATTTATTTACAAAATGGCGAATGCGATCGATTCTTCAAATGTATCTTTTTTCGAGCTCATTTTGCTATTTTAGTTACTGTCTTGTGAAATTCAAGGTTTAACGCAGGGTCAACATTTCGACCTCGGACAACGAATTGTCAATTTCGGAGCGGCCGGTATTGAAATTTTATTTCCGATCGCGAGATCTCCTCAATGATCTCATTTGTCGGCGGGGTCTCTCGCACGGTAGCTGTAGTTCGACGCACTGTATTTTTCATATGGTAATGTTAAGAACCGGGAATTTTCGGGATTTCATATCGCATTTGTGAGACGCTATTTTCCGCTGTCTGTCAAAGAAACTCTTGCTATATAATTCGAGAATCAGTTGCGGGGGAAACGAGAAGAAGAGATAAAGAGCGAAAAACGGGAGAGAGAGAGAGAGAGAGAAAGAAAGAGATAGAGAAAACGAGAGCTAGAGAGAGGCGAGGACCGAGGGGGAGGGGGGAGGGGGATTCTAGCTGACAGAAATCCCCGCTTGTCTGCAGCGCGACGGTAGTGAAGGAAGCAAACGCGTCAAGGGATATTGCTTATCCCTTTACTCGGTTAATTTTCCCTTGCAGTTTCACTCAGCGCGGTACTCGCGAGCAGCGCGGAATATAGTTGCGCGCGTGTGTTTTTCGCATTTACAAAGGGCTATATATTGTTGCCGAAACGAAGTTGTTGCATGTCGTCCGTCCGACACATTTTGAGGGGCTTTGCAGATTGCACATGGTGCACGCCACATATAAAGGCGCAAACTAAATAACGTGACGGCTACGTACGTATATATATACGTACATGCACACGAGAGAGATACCTGGAGTCGCGGAATATCGCGGAATAAGTGTCGACGAATATGTGCTGGTGCACAAAAGCGAGACGGAGTCAATAGCATCGGCCATTTATTATGTGTGTTGTTTCGCGATAACTAATATTAAGCGTGACTGTGTATTTTCCGTTATTGAGTTCAATTGTATGCGCTCAACGGCGTTCACGTTGCGTCAACGTTTGACGATTGCTTCTGTGTGATCGCATGATAAAGGATTAACTGCGGATCACTATGTCAAACAGAAATTGTAATTAGAGAGAGAGAGAGAGAGAGAGAGATACCCGTATTAATAGTTGTGACTTGGAACTTGTCTCACGTGAGATACTCAGGTATGTTTGAATGTGTCTGAATTTGAAGTCGAATTTGAATTTTTTCGTTAAACTGTACAATACACGTGAGATATTACATTTGCAATCGCGATTGGACTGGAAAATTCATATCTAATTCGCAAATCAGATCTGAACGTTTCATTCGGAGCAAATTTCAAGTAACGATCGCAGGTGTAATGTCACATACTTGGCACGATTCGAATGAAAATCTCACGCGGAACAAGTTTAACATAACGACTGTTAATTCGAATACCTGTATTTTATAATTGTCACTTGAAACTTGCCTCGGGCGAGATATTCAAACTTGAATCTCGAGAAGAGTCAGATGCGAATTCTTCCGCTGAATCTCCATTGCAAATGTAATATGCAATTGTCACGTATACATTACACGATTCAAGTGATAAAACTCAAATCCAGCTCTAAATTCAGATTTTCGTGCCTCACGTGGGACGAGTGTTTCAAGAAGCGACTATTAATCCGGCTCTTGGTCTTCCAAAGAGGCGACTGTCAATAATTTTATGAACCGTGAAATTGTGTAGATCACTAAGAGGAGGTGGAAAGAAGAAAAGACGAAAAGGGAAAGGAGATAGCTTGCCCGTTAAAAATGCGATTGCTCTCGCCGATCGCGTCTCAAATACAGACGATGTTGAAATTTCCGACCTAATGATGGCAACAACCGCAACGCTAATCGCGCTAAATGGCTGGACCGGGTGCGCTGCTAACGACGGCGATGATGTAAATACGATAACGGCGGCGGAATTGGAAAGGACGCACGCGCGAGGACGACGTAACGGCCGAGAGAGCGGACTTTTGCTTCAGATGAGATTTTAATTCAACTTCGGCCGTTAATCACGCCGCTACGGAAACGGAATTAATTAAAGCTGCTTAGCGGGTAAGACGGGCAATTATTGGATTTACAACGCTATCGCCCGCCCGGGATTAAACTGATACGCCCGATGAATCGTTCGATGTCGCCGGCTTCGACGGTCGCGTTGCAACGTCGCCGGCTTGATGCATCGCTATGTTGCCGGGCGTTCTCTCTCTCTCTCTCTCTCTCGCTCCCTCGCGCCTCTAAATTCCTTTCTTTTCATGCATCGCGTGCACGCGCATCCGCGTTTAATCGAACCAGCCGGATTTTTGTTTTCCCCCGCGGCGTATGTTCACAGGTGTGGAGAATAAAAGGTCGATTATTTTTCGGACGTCGGACGAAATATCGACTCGTTCCACTTGCACCACGACGCTCGCACGCACGCTTAATTTTACCTATGTATGCGCGTGTGTATAAATGTATTCGCAATAACAAATGAAGAGCGAGAGGTCCGTACCGTAAGGAGAAATCTGAGCCGAGCCGAAATTTTCCCGGCATTTTCATGCTCTTAAGGATAATTCACGTCTACTTAGATTGCGTTATGCAAAAAGAAATAATTTGCCGGCACGGCAAAATCTGTTGGTTGATATGCGCATTGCAGAATGATTTGTTAAGAATAGAGGAAAATGGGGTTACATCGGTCAGTGGGTAATGCCGGTCACCTCTATATCTCAACTGTGGTCGGTACGAATTGAATTCGGTAAGTTTCTGTTTTCTGCGGAGGGCCGAAGGAAGCATCGGACAAAACACCGCTGTCTTAGCGTTATTCACGGCTGAGCTGTCGCGAAAAGTTTGCTTCGCCGCTTTTCTGATGTATGGATCGCCGCTGAAGAAGCGTCGTAAATCGGTATGTTTAATCACGATAAATTATCGCATTATTTTCTGCAATGTCACTCGAATCTTCTAATATACGGTAAAAGTATTGCTTTTCTGAATTGACGAATCGTTACAACGTGGTTAATCTATTTGCGAAAGTGTAATTCGGATAACGTCGGCCAGTCGATGCTGCAGTGACCGAGATTAAGAATAATGTTCTCATTGTGAAGAATTTGCGAGAAATGATGAAATACGGTTTCGCAGCATATTCTGCGGACTTTCGGCGCACAAAAATCGCACTGGGATACCCCCGATAGGTGTCATTGTAATGTAAATAATAAATAAATAATAAATCAATAATAAATGAATGACTATTTTTCAAGACGTTACGTGCAAAACTTCCGTCATATCTCCTCTTCAATAAATGTGTTCGATTTTCAGAGAAATATATTAAACATCGCTAACCGGCATTACCCTGAAGTCGAAAATCCCCGCGAAATCTCCTTTTTCGTTTTTCCATTTGTCTCTCTGGCGCGTATTATTCTGGAATTTTTGAACCAGTTTGTATTATAGAAAATACCTGTAGGTATTCATTGCATTAAGCGGATCTTGAATTCGACGTTTCTTACCAGTTTTCTGAGTTTAAGCCTTAATTACGAAATTACTTCCGCTCTAATTACGAATAATCGGCTAATTTCGCGAAAATGGCAAAATGATTTTTCTCCGCGTGGAATCAAGATTTTTCAAACCCCGTCTTGTTACTTCAGCTCCTACTGTGTGTTGCAGAAATCGAGATTTAACACGGGGGTAAAATTTCGACTCGGGTATACGGCGGACATCTCGCCGCTCGGGGAAGAGCTCTCGGAGAGACTCTCGCGGATGAAATGTCCAAATTTTCAGCCGCTAATTCCGGATTACGAGCGGCCGCGCAACAGTGGTGAACGCGCGCGCAAACAACAGCCGTCTGTTCGACCGCGTAAACTCTCCGAGTTTCATTATCGTGTTCCTACGAACCCGCCGATACGCGCACTCGGAATAAGAGGCTGTTCACCCGCGGTTCGTTGACCAGTGATCCAATAGTCCGTGCGAATTACTTGGGTACAGAATGGGAACGGCCGTCCGGGTCCGCTGACGAGCCGTCCGCACTTTCGAAACGGTCTCGTCATGTCGCGGCTGCTTTTTTGCCTGTTGGCGAGCCTCGGCCTTTGGACGAATATTTCGCGGTGCCGGGCGATACTGCTGTATCCCGAAGCTACCTTGTATCAGGTATCTTGAAAATTGTCCGCTATTTTCTCCCCCCTCTCTCCCTTTCTTTCTCTCTTTCTCTCTCTCTCTCTCTCTCTCTTGCTCGTTTTGTTTTACATTTCGGCGGTGGTGTTGTCGTTCGCGTTATTTTTACCGCAATTTATTATTTAGAACGGACGGAACTCTCGATTAAATCCGAATTGATTTATCAATCGGCAATCCCCCCTCTTGTCATTGTAAAACGCAAGATGAATTTTAATGAAAGAGGAATCTCTCAAACGTCTCGCAAATCGCTCGGCGCGAATGCGATATCGTGAGAATTTCCCGGCGTCGGATTTCTTTTCACGCTGCTCGCGGATTTCCCACACGGTCGGATTTTGACTACGGCGAAATGTATAAAAAAATATCCCGCGTCCGCCGGCGGGAAGAAATCGCGTGCCAATCGAACAGCGCGCGCCATATAACAGGCCATTAAAACGATATTTAGCCCTGCGCGGGAATTTTCCGTTCGCGCGCGACAAAATACTGGCTCTGTGTGGCCGGGGCATTAAATATTTATCCGCGAGCCCGCGGAGTAATTAGCGAGTCCGCTCCGAGAAAGACTCGTGTTGCGCGCGGGAAGCTGCACAACGGCGGCGAATTCGATCGCGAAAATTAATTTCGTGCACGCAACTCTCCGATTCCTCGTGCGATTAGTGTCCTAGATTTGAAGAGAGAAGCGCAACTGAATCCGATATATCGGAAGTCCGTCGTTATCTTTGCATGGTGATGCTCGGAAACAGGGAGCAAGTAAATGAGAGGAGGGAAATGAATGAAAAAGGAAGGTTAGATTGTAAGAGATTAACCTCGGTAATTAGTGTGAGAATTTTTATTTATTTACTTATTTATTCATTTATTTATTCGTTTACGGGAAATGTCCCAATGCTTTTAAGACAGAAGAAGGAAAACATAATAGGGGATAGGGGCGTAAATATTCGAGGTTGTAATGTGGGACTCGTATTTGTGCTGAAATTGTTGCTTGAAACTAAAACTACGTAGTTAAAACTACGTAGTTACATTCATTAGAAATGTTAAGCTCCGTTTAAGGTCATTCGAGAGCACTAGCGTTAAAATGACGCGTTAAATATAGGCCAATCTTATCCCGGCCGTCCGTATGATCAATTTCAATTATTTTATGAATGCAAATTTTTCATTTATTACCCGAAACAACATACTATACACTTGCGAGAAACCTCACTCCAGCTAATAACACGTCGCTTAACATTATCCACTCACGATAGAGAATATTAATAAAAAACTTCAAGGATCTCGGAAATTTATTCCGCTATTACTAAATCAGATGTTTCTTTTTTTAACTATGATATTATTCCGAATTAATTTAATGACACTCAGGGGGAAATATTTATGTTCTAAAAGGATTATTTAGCGATTTTGTATCCACTGTTGCTCTCAAGACACATATCGAAAAAGCACATGGGCAACGTAACCCTGAAGCTGACTAGCCTTGGTCTATCTTAACGAATATCCTTTTATTAAAATGCGATGTAGCTGCAAGGTAAAACTTAACAAGTTTTTTCGTACGTATATTGTTCGGTGTAACATATTAGTTTTTATGTGTTGAATAGCATTAAGATTAAAGTATGAAACGATAAGTTAATTTTCCGGAAATACATGTTGAGTTCAAATTCATTAGATTGTGTAAAAAATGGCTGTTGGGTCGCAATAACGTCGTCTCGTATTGCAGCCAGTGTGGCAGTTTTGGTGAGAAAGAGAAGATTAGGTGTTGAGCTACTGAGATGCTGAGAACAATTTTTTTTATTTTTAAAGAGATTATTTATATTGTTATATATAGTCTTACACCTCAACACTAGGTTATTTCAGCCACTTTCTCGTCATTTTGTAAAAAATAACATACCTTTCATCGTCCTTTTTGTATAAATACATTGAAGAAAGTCGTGGACGTGAAGAAAAAATGGCGCCTCGGTGACGCGTGATTCCGACCAGCTAATTCAAACAGACCGTCTCTCTGTTGCGCGTCTCTATTTATATCTAGGACTCTGCCCGCGCGCTACAATCCGGCAAAATTCTCCCGACAGTTCACCCTGGGCATCACGGTGCCGGTGGCGATGACAAAGCGGGGCGGAATCGCCTTCAATGCGGGCTTTCAGCTCAACTTCGCCTTACCGTGGAATCTGACGCAGTTCGAGCCGACGGTGATCCCCGCGAGGCACATTAGGGATCTCGAGTTGCAGGACACTTACGTCGCCATCGAGGATCTCTTGAACGAGTGAGTCGTCTCTCTCTCTCTCTCTCTCTCTCTTTGTCTTTGGTTGTATATTTGCTCGGAAGTTCGGCGTTTACTCGAGAGAAACGCACACACACACATATATATATACATATATACCGCTCGATGATTCCGCAAAGCTCCCGAGGAAAGAATAATTTCACGTCGCAAGACGCATTCGGAAAGCACGTCCGTCGAGATTCATCGGCTGCGGATGAGCGAGAGTCGTCGGCCTCGTTATTCCCTCTCGCGTCCGCCTTTTGTCCACTCTCGTACACGCGAATCCCGCGAACAAGCGCGCAATTTTACTCGCACCCCCTCCGCGGCCTCGCGCCGGCCTCACAATGGCCGGCGGTCGAGGGGCGATTTGAATTTCGAATCGGAAGAACAAACGCCGCGCGTTACCGGGCGAAATTGCCCGATGAATCAGTAAACACGGGCGGAAGAGAGCGGGTAAATTCGTAATTAACTTAAACTCCGCCGGACGCGATGGCCGCTCGTCGGAATCATATTTCTGNCTGTCCTGCGTCGCGCCTACGGGCGAAACTTCGCCCTGGGAGCGTTGTTTGCGAAATTACGAAAGCGACGATCGATGACGAGCGGGCGATACCGGGCGCCGCGAACGCGACAAAGGGCGCGCCTCCCTTCGATCCGTATCATTCGCGCGCCCCTCCGCCCTACGTGAGCCCTACGAGTGTCGCCATTCGCAGGATCAAAGGACGGCCGGGGTAAAGACGGGGCCTCGAACATAAATTAATTGGGACATAAGGCAATTACTCCGCCGGGATGCTAGATGGAGCGCCGTGCAGGGCCGTACGGAACAATGGGGGAGCCCGACTCCCGCAAGCCCTTCGCGATCCAGAGACGCACGATCGATGAGACAGAAGGAGACGGCAATCTCGCGCATTAGAGCTGAAAAGGACGTTTCCAACTAGCGTTGAAGCCCATTGCGGCCAGTCAGACTTCTATGCCTTTCGTACGTCTGTCGTCCTTTTGCCTTCGAATACTTTGCAGTTCATGCTTGGCGGGAATTAACGGAATGAATAAATAGCACGATAAGAAATTGTTCGTCATAAGAAGAAAACAAGGAAGCAAATAGAACATAATATGCTTAGATGAAGAGAAAAGAATTGCTTCCTGTATTGATTACAGACGACAATAAGGTGGTTCGTGCAAGTTGCCCGTTTGCAGTCGACACACATATATATTAGAGTTCCAAATATAAACAGAGAAACGTAACTGAATTCGATATATCGAAAGTCTGCCATTTTCTTTGCATTGCTGATATTTGGAGCAAGCGAGTAAGGAAGTGAGAAAGAGGGGAGATGAGTAAGGGAGGAGGATTAAGTTGCGAGAGATTAACCTCAGTAATTAATCTAAGGACTATATTCATAGTTGGATCTTATACTTAAGACCGTCTTAAGTTCATCTTCAGATGTTTCGTAGACAATAAAATGAGCCACGCAACATCTGAAGACGAACTTGAGATGGTCTCAAATATAAGATCCGATTATAAATACCGGCTTAAGTGAGAATACTCTTCCCTAATTTATAGTTACTCATTATAATCAGATATATTAGAAAAGGATTTTATTGAGTTATAACATCTAAGAGTGTACAAGAAAAATATTATGACTTACCGGTGTATCGTATGTTTTTAATTGTGGGCAAAAAAATGGCGCTTCGGTCATGTGAAATTCAGTTTGAGCCGTCTGGCCTTTTCACACAGAAAGAGAAGCGCTATCAAGTGAACGTAATTGTCTGTTTTTAACTGTTTAAATCACGCAGTATTTTTACCGATTTAAGTATATTTTAATAACTTGTGTAATAAACACTTACCTGAGCGCAGTAATACATTAACTTGTAAATAAATTACTAAATGTTAGTGTAAAATGTCTCTAAATGTAAAAGAGTACCTAAACAAAACACACGTATGCCTAAAAAACGCCTCCACGACGTGTGTCGTGTGTCGTGACGCTTCTTTCGCATCGAAGGGATCTAATGGTTTCAAATTTGGATCTTATCGAGTTAATATTTCCCAAAGATTCTCAATATTATAAACTTAATATTTGTCGTGATTATTTTAACACACAATTATTTCAACATACAAGTAGTTTATCGTATATATAATCAATTATATTTCTACTTCTCGCGCATATTTGCCAAGAAGTAATGGAGTAACCAATTCACCCGAATCAAGTAAATATTACTTGAACGGCAGCACTTTTTTTCCAACATAGAGCCGAAGTTCACCGCGACATTCGTGCCTTTACGGTCGCGCGAATTCGCTTGCCCGACGACGACGTGCCGGCGGGGTTGTTTCGCAAAAGTCCGCGACGCGAGAGGACTCCTACCCTCCTTCTCCTCCTGCGAAAGATCCCGCTGGCACGCGGACACGCTCTAATAAAATTACCCTCGGCGTCGGATCAAAGTAAAGAGGCCGGAAGAACTAAAGAGAGGCGAGAAGAAGGAGGGGGAGGAACGCGCCATCACCGTCGTCGCTGCCGCCCCGCGAATTGTCGACGGTGAAGCGTAAAACCCGTGTCCATACTATATACCGGCACTGCGAAGATGCTACGATTTAATGTTGACTCTAGACACGGCTGGCGGGACGGCAGGCAGTGCCTTCTGAGGACCATTTGCGAGCTCGCGGAAACGCCTCTCCGCAGGACCCAACGCCGGGAGGACGTTCTCGAGGAAATGATTCACTTAATTTTAACGTAAGTCAATTCCGACGTTTCGGCGCGCGCTCTTTGAACCGCCCCGAGTCGATGCGTTCGCGCACTTTCGGAAACGAGATTTATTATCGAAAGAGTCGCGAGTAATGAATTCTCTCGGAGGGCTCTCTGTCTCTTTCCCTCTCTCTCTCTCTCTCTCTCTCTCCCCCTCTGGCTCTCTCTTTCTGTTGCGTTAACGCTCGACGTTACGCTCGCTACGAATAATATAAAGGATACGTGAGAGGTTCTCGTACGGGAATGTAGAGCTCGGAAAATTCGGGTCAGCAGGACGCGAACGGGCGTGTGTTGTACGTCACTTTCGATTGCTCGTGCGGATTCGAGGATCTTCGTGAGCGAAGAAGAGCGAACAAACGAACGCCGAAATGTTGGCTCTGCGTTAAACTTTTTAACACTATGACACAGTAGAAGTGGACACAGTAGGAACACTATGACACAGTAGCTAAGATTGCAAAATAGGTTCAATTCTGTTGGCGTAATTTATTTCTTTTTATTTTAACTATGTTAACGTCTTCAATTTCCGTCTTCTCTGTCTTTTAACGTCAAAGTTGGTTATTTGGTATAATCTCGTGTGAATTTAACAGTCGAAGTATCGGGAGCGTTTATAGCTTTAAAATAGCATTAAAATGAAATCTGTAGAATTAAAAGTTCGAGGGCGACAGTAACAAGTGTAGTGCTGTCAAGGTAGATTTTTATCAGAGTATGGGCCATCTAAGTAAATTATCCTTCAGAACGTGAAAATGTTGACGCAAGCGTGGCTTTTTTTCAACAGAATACTTGCAGCGTTGACATACGAATAGCGGGACATGTGCCAAATATTTAGTATGTACCGTTAATTGAAGCAAGAGGGTTGTGTACACTTTTATACAATATAGTATGGACACACCACCCTCTATATGAGAGAGTACAAAAAATGAGTTTTTGAAAATAATTTTCCCTTCGAAAAATCAGCGGCGTAATTAAACGAAGATATTTTTATTGTCAAAGTTTTGTTTGTAGAACGTTTTGTGATGTTCCAAATAGTTTACGAGATAAATAAGTGCATGGAATAAATATAATGAATAATAATAAAACGGGTAAAAGTAAATAAAAAGATAAATTGAAAAATGCGAAAGTCTTACTCGAAGGGTGATTTCGCCCCTTCCAGTTGTTTTCTTAGCACATTTCTAAATTCGTTTATTTACCTACCTATATTTATGCTTAAGTTTTCATAAAATCAGAATTTCCGAGTTCGCTTGTAAATGATCCTTTTCGGTACGAAGAAAGTTATGGTATTTCGAGTCATTCGAAGCGAGTCATTCAGTACGTCGTAATTATGTATAAACATTACATAGACGGTGAACACAACGACTCGGAGTCTCTGAAATTTAGTTAACGCGCGCGAATCGGACCCGATCAAATCCGTCGGCGATCTAACGTCTATCGGCAAAATTCTACGGGATGAGATGGTCGGGGGAGGTGGAGGAGCGCCGGGGATGACTATACACCGTGTAAAATATCGCCAGCCGCGCGTTCTATCCCCGGATAACCGGAGCCACGAATTTGCTATTCCAAACTCATCCACGCCCGCGTGTGTTCGAAGGAAATTGCGCCCAAGCTAACACCGGTGCGCTAATTGCGACAAAGTTAGGCGCGTACGTTAAGTTTCTAATGAAAGTGTTTCGCCCGGGCTTTTCCCGCCGACCCGCCTCGCGCTATCCCGGGCGCTTTCCTTTCGCGTTCGGAAGTTGCGCTTCCGGAATTTCTCCCGAAATAACCCCCCGACGAAATGCCAATGCGCGTAATTGCGTGCCCGCTTGATCCCCTCGAGACCCTCGCGACGCCTCGTATGCGCTGCACGCGCGCACGCGTGTAAGCGTATACGCGTTATCGAGTATTTATGCTTTGTAAATTAATACGGCCAGTCATGTAAATTGTGGAAATTTATCCGAAGCGTACGTGAGCAGGACCCGGTGTGTAAATAATTGCATTTGATAAACATTGACACGGATCGCATCGAATTTTACAGCGCGGCGACGACTGTAATTTCAATGCGATAATTATATGCCGTTGTCTCTTTATCTCTCTCTCTCTCTCTCTCTCTCTTTCTCCCTTCGTCCGCTTCGACGTGAGATGCATGGGAAACAGTATTCCCTATTTTTCATTTATTTATTATATTACACGCATGGATATTATGTGTTTTGAATGAAGTCACGCGTTCTGCATTTCCACGCAAAATCCGAAATGAAAGTTTCCGAAGTAACGAACCGAGTCGAAATTTTGGAATTTTGCTTCGCCGGATAGTTGCGCTTACTTCGATTGCCTACAAAGAAAAATAAAACAATCTTATATAAATTAATGATAGATATTCTCATATATAAGCAAGAATGTTATAATATTTTTAGAAGATCTTGAAGTCTTGAATTGAGTGCAAGTCATATTTGCATGAATATAAGTGCAATCAAATCAAGACTAAAAATCTTCTAAGAAGATTATAATATTCTTATATGTGAGAATATCTATTCTTGAATTAAGACTAATTTTCTTCTGTGTATAAAACTTAGTAAACACTTATTTTGGCAATGCTACTTTTGTTAACTTCATTCTTGAACTTTTAATTCTGCAAATTTAATTTTAATGCTACCTTGAAGCTTTGATGCTCTCTCGATATTTCGATTATTAAATTCACGAGTATTCAAGCATAATTTTGACGCTAAAAACAGTAAAAACGGAAATTTCAGACACCATTATGGTCAAAGTAAGAATAAATTTATGTCCTTTGAATTGAATAGAATAATTATGTGGTTTGAACCCATTTTGCTATTTTTTAGCTTCTACAGTATTGTAGAATTCAAAGTTTAACATAGAGCCAAAATTTCGATTCGGAAAGCGCTCGTGTTCGAGGAGAGTGCGCGAGAAGCGGATCGGGTAATCTTCGATGCGGTCGAACGACCTAAGGCTCGACGCGGAAAGCGCTCGAGACGATTTAATTTGAATCTCCCCCACAGGCCGACGGAAGAAAGGTCGGCGGTGGCGATTAATTCCAGTCACCCGAGCGCCAACAAATTGTATCAGGAAGCTGAGCGATTGGGTAGGTCTGGTGGCGATTGCATCCTAACGTATCCTGATTGCATCGAGTCGCCGTTGGAATCGTTTACGGAGATTATATTTCCTTAGAGAATCGAGCCGGTCAAGAGCGAGCCCGACTCGTTTCTTGTCGTTTGAAATATAAATTAATTTATACACACACAGACAGACATGAGCGCGCGTTCACACAAATGTATCGATGAAATACGAAACGATAAATATATAATGTTTGATTGCGTAATATAGCTGGGGAACACGCGGATTTATTTAAAATCGCGTCGATATTGCTGGAAATGCGTGTGTCAATAAACGGAATAATCGCGTTCCCAAGACATCACCGCACTGATGAAAATAAATTCGAATGGGCGTGACTTTTCACGCACGAGAAACCGAGGGAGAGCGGTTTTCAGACGCGCGCGAGAGATTCGCGTTTTATCGCGCGACAATAACGAGAGATCCGCGTTTTGATTAACCCCTTGCGTTGATTGTATTCAATTCACGCCTGCGCGGGATATTTATGTTTACTTAAGTTATAATGCTAACAGAAAACAAAAGCATACATTACGTTATGTGCCTGAGACATACGCTGAAAGGAAAAATATTAAAAAAATAAAAAATATTTATTCGGTGTGTGAATACTAATGATATATTTTCTTATACAAATATATATATGTATATATTTCTTAACCCTCCATCGGCAAAGAAGGACGTTAAGAAAACTCAATTAATTCTTTTATTGTGAATTCTAAAATAATTAGTACATGGCGATATTCGATAACTTATCGTGAAAAAATTTACTTGTAGTGAATGGATATGAATGTAAAGATATTAATATTTAGTTGCTCGTCTTCGAATAAGAACGGTTAGAACATGCGTTTAGGTCTTCAACAATCCACTTTGTAGATCAGGTAAGTATTTTTCGCAAGTTAATAATTGATTTTTTTGTTTTACATACTTCCGACGTTAACTTCAATGAATATGAGAAAAATTTTATTTTTTAAATGCTATTAAAATAGATTTTTCTGTATTTTATATTGTTATTTTTACTGATTTAAATAAATATACAAAAATTTTTCCTTTTAAATAGATTTTATATGTTTTACATATTTTCTTGATAAAAAACTAAAATTATAAAAATATATTACTGTGTTGTGTGCTAAGCTAGTGTGTGAAGAGAATCGCATACATTATTGTGTAGACTGTATTAAATTAATATTTTTATTTTCTGAGTTTTTCATGTGTACACTAATTTTTAGAAAAACAAACTGAATTTAATAATCAATCTGCTATAAAAATGTGTGTGTGTGTGTGTATGTATATGTACGATTTTATTTTTTTCTCGAATAAGACTTTATTCTCTTTCTCATAAAAAAGTCCTCATTTTTAGGTATTTAAATAATTTTTTGGAGCCAACACCATTACATTACTTTCTTTTGAAGTACATATCCTCAAGCATTATAGCCTGAAAAGATTGTACAATTGTAAAAACTTGTTATTAAAGCTTTCACAAACATACGAGGATTTTTTCAGATTTTTATACAATCCGAAACAATACAAAAACATGTTTTTCCCTCGACGACTCGATGTCGACTGTCCACGAAAGACGCTAAATTTACCATTGCCAACATAGAATTAAACGTGTAACTTTCCATGAAGGCAGTCGTTTATCTTATTTAAATAAAAGAACTTATTCAAATAAATATATTATTGGTACCAAATCAATATTTTTTAAAATATTTTCTTTTCAGTAGGCCGGCCAATTCTAACTCATGAACAGTAAAACGTCTGGGCAACGCGACTCCAGCTCAAGAAATCAGTAGTCCTAATCATTTTTCTCCGAAGTGTCTACCGGTTTTTTTTTTATATAGTTTGTAGACTTCCACACCCTGCGTTTCTCTCCCTCTCTCTTTCTCTTCCTCCCTCTTCTCCTTTTCCTTCTCCTTCTTCTTCTTTACCAAAACTGACGTGAGAACGTGAGAAAACCTTAACTACATCCGTCACACCAACATTGATTTCATCGGTAGCGTCGATCGAGTGGCCGTGTTCCGTCGTGAGCGCGAGACGAGAAATGGAACAGGTACTAAATAAATTTCGCTGTCGGGTCCCACCGTAAGATACCTTACGGGAAAGCGATATACGACGCCCGATCTCTTTTCTCCGACATGTCTGCCGGGTTCTTTATCTGGATTCGTAAATACCGTATCCACCCTCGCGCGCTTCTCTCTCTCTCTGCTACTCTTTCCGTCCTAACCATCTCGATTCCCGCAACCACCACACCCTCTTTCCCTCTTTCCTCCCCCTTCACTCTCTCTCTCTCTCTTTCTCATGTCTCCTAACTTTCACCGTCTCTCGGAGGTTCCTGCGCGGGCACAGAGGCCGCTCGCGAAAAGGACGATCTACATTTCGCCGCTTCCCGCGTCGGCCGATGATGTAGCGCGCGAAGTCACGTGTTTTCGCACACGGCCGCCCGATGGACGGAAAGCGGACGCGTTCGGTTATCTCCTTCGGGCGAGGCTCGATTTCTTACATCCCGGGCTGGGGATTGCGGCGAGAGCGGACGCCGGACTGCTCGCCGACGGTCTCCCCGATATTTCCGCGCGGTGTTTAATCCCGCGCGCGTTTTGCCCCGGAGAAACGTTTTGCCGCATCTCCGGCGTTTCCGCCGTTGAAGTTTAACATATTACACCCGCGGGATCATCGGTCTGCGCGCGTGTGCGACGATGCCGTTACGTTGAAACCAAATTGCACGCGGTGGAGTGCACATATATGTGCATATATACATGTATTATAGGCCTGATTATATTATATTATGCACATATTGGCTGCAAATAATTAATTAAACAATTAATTATTTGCGCATAGCGGTATGTGTGCAATTTCCTGGGAAAGGGTGCCTCTTAAATTGCACATTCATCTTGGCCGGTGTTGCTCCGCTGGGAAACAATAGACTTTTTCCCCGTTTACTATCCAATTTTGCTCAACCACTTTATTGTCCCCCGCTTCCATCTTCATTTATCTCCCTTCCGTTTTTCTTTGCAATTTTCCCCGGTCTCCGCGCGACCGTTCTTGCACACCGCGGCGGAAGGCGCGCCCGAGTGTGAAGTATCACTCGGCGGGAGCGATTATTCGCGCGGCTATTTCGCGCGATACGTCGCGATCGGCCGCGCGTCAACGATCGATCGATCGACCGGCAATTCGCCGAGTCATCGTAAATTCGTGTAGATTCGCCCTGCTCCCCTCCACCGCCCCCTTCTTTCGACAGAGATTAGCGGTCCCTTTCTCTCTCCTCGTCGGGCTTTTCTCTTTCTTCCTACGCTGCATTATCTCCCCTGCCTCTCCCCCCCCCCTCCACCCTCCCTACCCTTTAGCCCTCTGCGTTTCTCGGGGCTTTAAAGCTCGAACGTGTAATCTTCTCGTTCCAAAACTTGTTCCGTGCGCCGCCTCTTAACCGGAATTCGAGCATACTCACCTGGAAGGAGAAACAGGGAAAGAGGAAGAGAGAGGGTGGGAGAGGGGCAGGAGGAGAGGTGGTGACAACTTTCCGCAAACAGTGATTACAAAGGCAGAACTGACAAACATTTGAAGCGTGGGGCTGAAGAACAGTAGATAGCCATCTATCTCTCGCGACGGTATCCGTCGCCGTTACTTTCCGCGCATTGTTCGGACGTGCGAAACTTCTCGTTAACTTTAACCTCGCGTGTTACATTCCGCGAAAAGCATTCCACGTTTCGCGTTGCCTTTCAAATTGCGATTTTCGTTCATTACGACGCGGAGATCCGGCCGGCACAGAGGCGCGATCTCGGGGCGCGAGATCTGAAAATAATAATAATAACAATCGGTGTAACAATGATTAATCGAGTCCGGGCATTACGCGACGCGGCTCGACGCTGCGTTTCACGTCGCCGTTTGGGCGCACGCGAGGAAAGTAACGGAGCCAAATCCAGCGCGAGCTGATAAAATAGAATTCAAGTGCAGGATTTATTCACGCCGCAATTCTAGCTTAACAATGAAATATAATATCCAGCGCGCTCTCGAACTAATGTATTTTGTATTTCGAATCGGGAGTGATTGTTAAGAGCGCGGGGAGCGATAGCGTAATTAAATGTCCGGCATATTGCGAAATACTTCGCGCAGTCGCGTGACGATTTTTCACCCCCCGTCGCGTTTACAAAATATATCTCAAGGGGCCGATTTCTGAAGTTGGTCCCAGGGTTGCATGGTAACTAGTTAATCAGTTAAAGGTTAAGTTAAAAAGTTACAGAGTTAACGACTTTTAACTTAGTTAATTTTTAATCAGTCAACTCCCGACTTAAACTTAATTATTTTAACACTAGAACCGCGGCTGAGTTATTTTTCATCCACTTGTAGATTCTTCTTTCCCATTTCATTGGATTTTCACGCCACTGGGAGGCCTCCTTTATCATAAAACAATTAAACGATATCATGGAATTAAAAAAAGTTCGCGAATAATTGCAAAAAAGAAATTACTCATTGCGGTTCCAGTGTTAAAACGCGATAACTCGAACTTGTTAATTTTTTTCCGTGTACGAGTTAAAGCAATTCATCAAAATTAAAATCATTGACGAGCTATTTACAATGTAGAATAAGAAAAATGAAAAATATTGTCGGATAGAATAGAGTTTTTACCCGTCTCTCTGAATGTACAATCAACTTTCCACTTTAACGAGTTGAGTTTAATTTGAATTCAATTTTAGTCGACAACGTTAGTTACAATTTAATTTGAGTTAATTTAATTCTACCTTAACTTATAATTGAGTTAATTCTTGTTTATGTAACTTTTAACGTAACTGAGTTAATTTGATAGGTCGTTGACTCGAAGTTTAATAAAAAAAAAAATGGATCTACCCAGTCGTGAGTAATTCTAACAAAAGCTTCCGGTTTCGCTGTTTAATCTCGCGAATTATCGGCGACTCGTTTCGCATTCGTTCCGAAAGCATCCTCGGATTCTCTTCTGGTCGGGACCGTCAATCTATCCGCCCGTCCACCTCTCCATCCTGCCATCCGTCCTTTTTTTCGCGCACGTGCAAAATTACTCGAGCGCGTTCGGTCATAATTCATCGGGTGTCAACACGCTGAGCAAGCGATCTCGAGCTTTGCGAATCTGCGTTAATTTCCACAAGGCTGACGAAACGCGCGTCGGAGGTTCTAAAAAGGCGTAAGTAGAAACGGACGGTTAAAGTCAGGCGGACTCGCGAGTCCATCAATGTGTCCTCGGTACAACAACATATACGCCTAGACCGAGCATTCATATAGATCATTCATATCGTGTGGAGAACGTGAAGTAGACACGTGACGAAGAGAGAATTTAATTTTTGAGTACCTCTCTGACTCTTATTTTCTCAATAAATCGGTATTCTTCATTATTGTATGTGGGCTGAAGGAAAGCTGTCCGAACAAGATAGAAAGAGGTAAGGATTCAAGAAATTGTCAATAAATAAATAATCATAATTATAAAGTAATAGAAATCGAATGATTTGCCACTAAAAGACTCGAATCGGCATTAAAATGAGATCTCACACAAATTGCAATAGTGAAAAAATCTGTTTATTATTTATATTACTTATATATATTTTATTATATTACTTGTTTCCACGTTAGATTCCAACGATGACGGGCGAGCTGCTTATGCTAATTTTCCTCGTGTTATATTGCCGGGGTGATGGAAGTCACGCTTCCAGAGTGAAAAGACAGGGATTACTTCCGCCGCCGATCGTTTATCCGTTCGGAGGAACGTTCAAGGTACCTCGAAGCAATTAAGATGGTCCGTAGAATAACGATATTATAGGAACTCTTTATTATTTATTGAAAAAAAAATACTTTCCTATAACTTTAATTAACTACCTAAGTAACGAAGATTGATTTTAAACGCGAAATTAAGAGAAATATGTACACAATATTAAACAAACGTGGGGATGTTATTTAGTTTTATTTTTTATCAATACTTTATTTACACAGTTGACCTAATAAAGGTGCACACAGAGTAGAAAGTGTAACATAAATGTTTAAAAATGTGTACATATGCCGCAGATATTACTATAAACTATAAATTTTCTATAACTATATTTTCAAAACGAAACGACCGATAAGTCTAAAATTTTTATACAATATCTATATAGATATATCTAGGCCTTAATGTCGCGGTAATTTCCCGTTACAATTCTAAATACGATTTAAAAGAAATTACAAGTAGAAATTATAAATAAGAAATTCACCTCATACGTATAAAAAGCGTCAACTTGAGTTGCGAACCTCTCAGCTTCCGAACGGTCAATCGTTTCTCAACTTTACAGTCGTGCAGATAATATTTCCATCAATACGCAGTTAAAATTTAAATAGGTTCTTAAGAAAACGGTTTCATGGACCAACTGTGGTGAGTCTCGAGATCTCACTGAATCTCGATCTGGCCCGATTCGCAAAGAAGACGTCGAACCCTTTCCCTCTCTTTCTCTCTCTCTCTCTCGCGGTACAGTTTTACGGCGGCGGTTAAAATAGCGTTGTTAACGTCTTCGACAACGCGGGGAAACAGAGAAAGGAAAAGGCAAGAGGATGAAAATTCAACCGGTGGGGCCGTATTCGGCCGGTGCTCGCAGTCGACATGCGATTGATAATTAACCGCGGCTTTATTCACCGTGCCACCCTCAAATTCTTTAATTAAATCGGGAAAACTCTTACCCCGCGTCTCTCGCGAGAACGGCGGATGGACGGTTCTCCGATGTCGTGATAGGTTGTTTGTCTTGGTTTTTGCCTGCCTCGACGAAATTCCCGGTTATTAGTATCCCCTTTGGAAGGCAAGAAAACTTAGGGGGAAATTAAAGGAAAACTTCACGGGATATCTGGCTGGAGTGTAAATAAACGCCTGAGTGTTCGAGAGAGGAACGGGAGAAGGGAGGCGAATATCGGCTTCTTCCCTCCTTCCCCCTCTTTGAGTTCGCGCGATCCTTCATCGCAGGAATTAGAGGCGACGTTTATTCCCCGCTTGTATAAGTAACATTATCGCTTTCGCGATTGTTACTCTTCCCGGTCTTGAGACAGTCGTTTCGACGAACGAGACGTCTCGTCTTTCAAAGCAGGGAGATCATCCCCGCGAAGCGAATGTGTTAACATCCAATCATCGCTATAAACGGGGAGGATATTTTATAATAAACATTATTTCGCAGATTTTTTATATATTTTATATTCATTGCGTATATATAATTTTACTATAAAATCTCCCTTATATTAACAACTTAACCACGGAACATATCGACATTCTCTCTCTCTTAGCTTATTATCCCTTTGTTTCACATTTATGCTATTTACATTTACAGGAACTGATCTACTATTAAAAAAATTACTTGGATTCCTTAACGAGATAAGCTCTATTAACGATCTATCGCTGCACCGCTGGCAAACACGATAAAATCGAGAAGAAATTTAAACGAGAGGAAAAATCTGCAAACATTCTCCCGGTGTTCATAATTAATCGACGGTACGCCGCAAATGCAGCTGTGAGCGCAGAACGGGGGTCGTTCGGCGCGGCAATCGCGACGAGAATTCAACGATACGAACGAGCGTTCGCATTCGGCCTGCCCTTTTCCACATTGCTTTGCCGAAAAGGCAAAATGGAAAAATTCCGCGCGCTCGCGAGCTCGCTCTCGAAAGTGCACGAGCTAAGACGCAAACGACTTTTCGCGGGAGACAAATTCGATGTATCCGGGTCAAAGCGGCAAGCGTGAAAGAGTGCCGAGGGTGCGGCACGCCGGGTGTGCCAGGCAGCAGCAGCAGACGGGGCAAATTGACATCGATTGTTCGTGTTATAACGCGACATAGTCGATTGCCCTCTCACGAAAGCTAGAGAGACTCTTTAATCCAAAGAGTGGCGCGGGAATTGTAAATATTTGAATGTTTGCCTTAAAACGGTGGCAACCAGAGGGGAAAACGGATTCGGCACGTACGGGTCACTGCACGTGTAAATTCGCGGAGAAGTTTCTCCCGGAGAAACAAAGTGAAAATCATTTACAGAGACTTCAGGAGAAGAGAGAGAGAGGGAGGAGGTGACAAAAAAGAGCGACCTCGAGGAAATACCGCTCCGGAATCTTCTCTCGTCGTTACCTTCGACATTCCGCATAGATTCGCCGTGTTTTCGATCCCGAACTTCCCGTCGCTCCCGCTAATCGCCGCGAGTCGGTCGCATCGCATTGCAACGGGAATCTAGTAAACACTAACTAACAGTAACATAACACCAATGTTATAATTTCCCACTCAATGTAAATGCGATATAACGCGTGTGTCATGTAACAGTTACATTGTTGAGCGGGCAATTGTAACATTGACGTTGCGTTACTGATAGTTGGTGTTTATCGGGAGCTTTTCTTCGTATGTAAATTCTCTCCGATTTTTACCATGTTTTTTTTCTAGTGGTGCAATATAGGCCGTCAGAATTTATCTCGATAGGGAGCTTGGCAAATTTTTCGACATATTGACTGCTAAATGCAAGTTATCTCGCTGGTGACGCGCGAAAAGAATTCTCTGTTCCATGCGAATTAACTTGTATAGGTTTTTTTGCAGGAATACGTTTTTATGGTGCGCTTTGTTGGACAATAAACACAATTAAAATGAGCATATCAACGTAATAAGCTGATATTAAAAGTTTCCTAATGTCACCGTGACACGCACACATACACAGTCAACGTGTTACTAGTAGACTTCAATTTCTAAAATACAAACGGCACACCCGAAATGAAAGAATAATAAATTAAGGGGCTGTTCCATAATTATGTCACGCTAAATTTAAATATTTTTCCTCTCCGCCTTCCCTTTCGTCCTAATTTCGTCACAAACTTTTGCCCTTTTTTAATATTACGAGACGTATAGAATTACCTCCTTCCCCCGCCGACATATAGAATAAAAACAATAGTTTATAACTATATTATAGGTAATAATTATTAGATTGCGCGCTATTATCTTTTTCTAAAATACAAATAATTTTTAGGCATGTGATATCAAATTAATTAAGTTATTTTATAATTTCGATTAATCGAAATTGTGTTTAAAGTAGAATGAATATTTCAAAATTAATATTTTGATTATTGGGACCGTATCAAAAACCATATCGAGAAACTTAAAAATGTCCACCAAATATAAATCAAACGTGTCACGAATGCACGCAAAATGGATAACCACGCGCGTTCAGATTTATTAGTTACGTCATCTGTGACGTTGCACTTTATCCCCCCTCTCTACCATCACAGACCGGGCAGGCAAGCAGATATATCCTTCCCCCCATCTTAGTTTGACATAATTGTTAAATAGCCCTTAAGATAGGACGTCGATATATTCTTCGTTTACAAAATCCTACGGCGATTTTGTGAAATTCTCCGCGCGTGAGAGAAAGAGAGAGAAAATAGCAGGCCGAAAGAGAAACGTTAAACATTGGGGTAAGAAAGGATTACTTTTCTTGAGAAGTCAGCGGCTTACCCGTGCGTGAGCCAGTTATCGATCTCGAGATTGGCAGCGCGTTCTGGCAAATGTTTATTAGTTCTTGCATAAAAGGCGCGAGGCGTCTAAGCAAAGTAGAGGCGGCGCGCGTCATAAAAACTAATGCATACGAGGAAAGACAGGCTTGGCGTGTCGCCAGGCAGTTGTATGTACGGCTTCTCCGTCATCCGCAGGTTAGCTCGCGAAAATAAGGATAAGAGGGACCTTCCTCCAGACAAAACCGCGATCGAAATAGCCCGACGGGCGGAGGCAGGATCGACGTTTGGTAAATCCGCGCCGTCGAAGTGCATTTTCTCAGTATTCGTGGCGATCGTGGCGGTTTTGATTTATTTTCATAAAAGGGCGAGTCGAGCTTGAGATTCGTAATGTTTACTTCGACTCCGTGTGTGTTTTAAGGTAAACTTTCCGAATTAGGAATTTATGTATCCCCCTTCCTGCGGCGGCCTGCGGCTCCCTGCGGACTCCACGATTTGCATGGCTGATTAATAAAAATCGATATGCATGTTTATAACGCAACACGGAGACGGGAAACATTGGTCGTGAATAGTGAAGGAGATCATAGCGAAGAGGATTCCCGCTACGCAGGAATCCCCACGCGTCACTCTTTCCGTTTCCGGCTCGCGTGACGGAAGGCTGCGGAAGGATACTTCCGTTTAATTTCATCCTGTATATCCTTTTCTCAACTCCGCTGCATTTCTTCCATTGTCGCGGCTCAGATTTCTCAGATATACAAGGGGAAGCGCTCGTAGAGTGAATATATCTTCCAAAATATCGATGATACAAAATTCGAAAGAAAGAATTTATCTTGCATATTTCACTATGCATTAAAAAATTTTTATTTATTGTATATTATGTGTTAAAAATAATTGTATTATATATTAAACCCTTTAAGGTCCACAGTATACTTACACAATAACGTGCACTTAGTCTCGATTTGATCGGATTTCTACTGATGCAAGTATTATTTACGCTCAATTCAAGACTAGAAATCTTCGAAAAATATGATATTCTTGCTTAAATATGAGAATATCTGTATTTAAGACTATTTTTTTTCCTTGCACTCACACAAACACACACACACACACACACACACATAGGGTCGCTCAGAGAAATATATCCAAATGGTAGTTTTTAAACTACATTATCTTTTCCTGACAACATTTTTTGTTAATATTTTTGAAGATATTCACCTGTCACGCTTAAGGCGTCTCACTCTGTGTTTTAGCGGCAGCGCGCGCGCGTATTTCGCTCCCGGTTGGCTCGATAATCCATTTTCAAGGCGAAGATTAATCTCCTTATACTTGAATCAAGGCGAGTGGTTACGAATTAATTCGCGCGAGCTCTTGTCGAAAGCAGCGAGACGATCGCGGGGCACCTACGTCCGTCGCCTAATTGGTCGTCGTGTTCACTGCTATCGGTGTTAGCCTGCATTTCGGCGTATGAAAGCTCGCCACGTTTGTCCTTATTGCTCCTTCGTTGTGCGAATTTCTCTGGACACCGCAGACACGAGAAGGAAGCAATCTCTTTCGTCACCCCCGACGTCATCTTCCTTCTTTCCTTCCTTTGGCCGCGGCCAGCGCGCTTCCATTTTCCCGGGGCCAGGTTTTGCGAGCTTTCATCCCGCGGATGTTTTACGAGCTTGCGCGTACTCTTCGTGATGAATTTTTAGCTCGATTCTTACACGCGATTCCTCGGGGCCGGAGACGGCGTTCCGGCGCGCGTATGAATCTCGCACTCCGCGAGAGCAACCGCGCGTCGGTCGTTTAATTCCCCCTCGTGTTGGATGCGTAAATTTATTTTCCCAAATTGCGGACAAGATCAAAGAGAGACGCAACGTGCAGCGTCGATTCGCACTCTGTGGCTTCGCTTTAGCTCTGAGGAGACCTTCGGCGACGCCTTCGACTCGTGATCGACTGCTCGCTCGAAGAGACTATCCTCGAATTGTATTTCCATTTCTATTTCTGTTCTATAATTTAATTGTCATTTTTATTTATTACATTATAACGGTATAAATATTACATTCCCTAATTGCACTTTCATTTTTATTTCTGTTATGACATTTCATTATCATTTTCGCTTATCGCACATTGGATAACGATGTATATAAATTTTACTTAACTTCTCTTGGGCATATTTTTGTCTGATTCATTGCATTTTAGGGGACTTCGTTTCAGGCCGCGTAATAAATATCACTCCCCATTTTTCTAAAACAGCATTCCCTAATTTTCATTTTTATTTTTATGACGTATTTCGATTACATCTTATTTTTACACGTCTCACTTTTGCATTCGCTCGTTCATTCTCAAATAACACTGCCTAATTGCATTTCCACTTTTATTTTTATTACGTATCTCGATTATTAATTTTATTCACCACACGTTGCGAGTAACGATGCAAATGTTACTCAACTTCTCTTGTACACCTTTCTCTTTGCCACCGCGCTTTGGGGGACTGCGTCCTGGAGCCCGTATCGCTCTCTTTCTCTCTCTCTCTCTCTCTAAACGAACAACCCCTAAAACGGGGTAGTTGTCTCATCTCTCGCATCTCCAACCATCACTCATCAATCTTTCCTCAAACGTTAGTGCAAGCTCGCGCGCTTCGCGGCCATCGCTTGATCGGACGCGCATTTTCGCACTCAATAGCCGTCGATATCATTATTGATACTTTGCGCGCTCTATCCTTTTCTTTGCTGCGCGCCATGCTCGGTCGGATTCGCGCTTCTTCCGCCATTTCACGGGTGATTTACGACGCCGCGTGTAATCTCCGAAATGAATTCGCGAGTTCTACTCTCCTCAGGCTTTTCTATACACTCTCTCTCTCTCCCCCCTCCCCCTTTCTCCCTCTCTCTCTCTCTCTCTCTTTATTTTTTTCTCTCTCGCCCCGGCCGATTCTTTTCTTTACGACCAGATACCGCCAGATATGAATTTTTATGTCTACACGCATCCGAGATCGCATCAACGGCGACATTACTCAACATCAGTTTCCTCCGCCGCCGCGATCGCGCGTCCCCGTTCCTCGTCCTTCGTCTCGGCCGTTCCCGAGGCAACCGCGTGGCATCACTCCTTGGCATCTCCGGTCTATATTTTCCCGGATAAGCGAGCAAACTGCTCGCTCGTCGCGACTTCCCTACGTCCTTGAAATAATAAAAACGCCTTCCGCTGCTCAACCCTTTCGCCACGGCTGAGTTCGACGGCATAGCTTCGCCGCTGAACGCGCGTAATGGATAGCCCGAGTAGAAATTGAACCTCGTGACTGGCTAGCCGCAAGGTAGTAAATTTGCGTCTAACGTCACTACTAACTACTAGTGATATAAAGCTCACTTCTCCTAGTTGCTATATATGAGTAAGTCAACTGGACGGAAGGAACTGGTTGCAAAATGAAAAATTATAGTTGCCGGCCAGTATAGAACTCGCTTCTGCTTTTTTAAGACTTTCATGAAACAAACATATAATGTGAGTTCAATTTCGATTTACTCGACAATTTTGAAATACTCTCGACGGTGGTAGGAGTGGGTAGGTTATTGACTTTGGAATAAACAGCACCATCCGTTTTGTCATATTTAATATGTATTGGCTAAATTAACAACTGATTCAGTGGACGATCGGCCAACAACGAGCTTTTTTCTATGAAAGCAATTGCTTATCACATTTATAAATAAAATCATCTAGTTTAAAGTGAACACGTTTGACACCCGTAAGTAATAAACGTTTCTTATCTTTTGGAGATTTTTTTTCCCAATTCGCTGGACGATTCTGGCTCGCAAACAGTAGAAACGACTGGGAGACGTGGTTCCAACGCAAGTCGTTAATCGGCGTCAATTCGAGATTAGCCGGACTCTATGACGGGGGCTCAAACGCAAATCGATTCGCGAACGTCGCGCGCTACACTCGATTATTCTCCGCGGAATCTTGGAATCCGACTGAGATATATCCTCGCATTCATTTGCTGTGAATTTGCGATAAGCTCGTCGTGGGATTTGCGGTGCCGGTAGAACTCTCGGGCAGGATTCTGGTTTACGGGCAAAACTTTCAATTCCAATACGCCCTGCCGCCGAACGCTACGCTCTTCACGGAGTTCTTCGAGAATGCCTCGTCGTCACGGCGACGTCGCGACAGTATTAGCCAGGACGAAAGGATGACTGTCTACGGGCTTTTAGAGGAGGAGTTTGAGAGGTAGGAACCGCCGTCGCTCTCTATACCGGTCGTTCGTGCACCACCGGCGAAAACGATACTCGCGATGACAACGAGACAAGACCTCGCCGCATTATTCGCATGTAGACGTACGCGTCTACAAACTAAATTTCACGAGAGACGCGAGTGTCTCAGAGATAATCCGGACAGTTCGCGGATAGTTACCGCCATGCTTTTAACATACTGTCCATGCCAAAATAACACAAAAATTCAGTAGGCTGCTTTTAACACAACGATTTTTTACCGCGCATATGCGTGACGATTCTTCGGATTTGTATTCTCGATCAGAGTAACAATTATCAACTGCTGCGACGGGCAATTATATTCATATATTTTTTTTTCATATTTTAGCGGTATAAGCAAACTAGATTTTGTTGGTTTCGATTTATTTGTTTTTCCTCTCACCGACTAACTTGTATTCTACGATAACCTAAAATATTCCATCCTCAGTGATCCTCAGTGATCGTTTAGCTCTGAAGTGCTTTGCGCACTCAAAGTGTTGAAATAAAAAAGAAATTCTTTCTCCTCTGTTATTTTGTTATTCATAGAAAAGGAATGGACGGACGGGAATGCATGAAGAAGACTATTTGCGAAGCAGCATTGGCGCCTTTGGAGGATGAAGGACTCGTGGGGGAATTATTGCATCTTTTTCTCACGTAGGATAAGTCACATTTTTTCCCCTCTTTCTCTACCGTCTTGAGAGAGATCAATCGTCATCTTATCTTTACGGGTTTTTCTTCCGTTAGGATTACACGTGTTTCCAATCTTAAATTAACAGTGTCAACGTATCTTACAAAATCGAAACTTACAAAAAATCCTTCTCAGTTATAGCAGCCTATCTTTGAGATTCCTTACAAGGAGAAATTATCGAAGCTTCCATTCTGTCTTTCGTTCAACGCCCATTATATAAGAAGCTTTTAGATTGACGAGGAATGAAAAGAAATGCTTTCCTCTCTAATTTTGATTTTTATTGAAGCAGTTTCCGCTTTCTGGATCCGAGAAATATTCTGAAGCGTCCAATATGTATAATAACGATATTTATGCGCTCATTATTATCAAAAAATTAATTTCTATATTATTCTGTTTATTTTTTTACCTCAAATACAATGCCTTACACAATTTTTATATTATTTTACGCGCTGAGAGAAAACGATATTTAAAAGGAGAGAATATTTATTACTAACAAATATATTATACTAATAAACATATTTTTACATCGAAGAATTTTTATTGAATAGAAAAATACACATTTCCTTAGAATCTTAATATTTCATAAAAGCAATTGGTTATTCTATTTAAATAAAAGAATTGGGAGAGAGATTAACCCCTACTAAATAAATATCTTTTATTTTATTTTTTAGATATATTTCTTCGATCGATATATTTGAGAATCCGAAAGAATCGCATGTTATGGAAACAAATCTATCTCTCTCTTCCTTTCGATTACGTCGTAATCTTAAATATTACCCGCCTCGAGGTGTAATCTTTGCTTCTAATTTCAGACCTCAAGAAGCACCGAATTCATCTTTAGATCCCGAGTATCTAGAGGCGCTCGAATTCGGGCGAAGTAACGGCAACTGTTCACGGATCTACCGATCGTGCTTGCCGGGTCAAGGGATTCTGGATCAGATCTCAAGCGTGATATTGTAAAGAATTAAAGCGTCGGGCGGAGCGGAAGTTAATCTTGTCGATCGCCTCGCTCGAAAGAATAATGGAGCAGCTTAATCTTAAGTCCATCATTTCCCGACCGATTTGCGATAAACAGAAAGCGACGATCGATCGCATATTACTGAGCTGGTAAACGGCCGAAGACGAAGCTGCTGAATCGAATGGAACTGAGGCACGAACAAAAGGGAAAGATCCGACGAGCGGGGCGCGATCGATTCGACTGCGGGAAAACCCGCACAGGAAAACTGTCGCGTTTAGTTACGCCCGAGTTAAATTAAGCAAGCGGTGTATCTCGCGGATTTAACGTTAACCGCACTTCCACTAATTGGCACGAAACGGTGGAAGCTGATAAAGAGGATAGTCGAAGCGGGAGCGATTCAAGACGGATTTGAGAACGCTATTTTCGTCGACGACGACTCCGGCTGCTTACGTAGGCGCGATTCTATCGAATCGATTGGCAGGCTGCGCCGCGAATCACAAAGTGATGTACTTGAAATAATCCGTCGGGTCTGTAATAACCACGGAAAATGGATTCAAGCAGAAGCAATGAGATAGATAGACAGCTGAAAGCGTTTATTAGAATTAGTTAGGGGTAGTTGAGTGTTTAGCTGATATTAAGGTAATTATACAGTTAATATTATTAGGTGATAAATAAATAAAAGTAGCCCCTAACAATTTTGTGAAAAAAATCATGGTTAATGTACGAGAAATATACACGAACGATATACAGGGTGGGCAAAATATCTCGTTTACGAGATATTCGACTGCAGTTTTGAAAAAATGTCTTTGATAAAAATTGTAGGCTTTAAAAAGATCTATTCACTAATCTTATCAGTTTAATCTTTTTAGATCTTTTTAAATCCTATAACTTTTTAATACACTTAATATCCGTTTCAAAATTGCTTTGGTTACGAGGTGTTCGATTGTACGAGGTGTATCGAGACTTTCGGCCCACTCTATATACGAGCAAATCCGACAACTTGTGAAAATGTTTGCAAATGTGATAAATGACACACAGCTTTGACACTATTGCAAGAGAATATAAATCAACTTTACGTGATGTCCAAAAACCAATATAAAATAACACACGTTTTAAAGTGTAATATTTTAGCCCGGACAACTAACCGCGTTATGCATAAATGTGTAAATATATGTGCTGTTAGTGAAAGCGGAATGATGATCGTGGCAACGTCGATTTTTCTATACGATTCTAGATCTTTAAAATAGATCTTTAAGGTTACTTAACTATTCTATCTTTGAATCTTCTATCTATTCGCTCAAAACAGGTCGAAGAGAAAAAAATAGACAAGTTATCGGAACTTTTTTCCTATGAAACCTACGAAACGTTGAAAATTATATAAGACAAAAGTATGCTTTTACCTGCAAATTTCTATATGCTTAAAAAACATTGTTGAACTAAATTGAAAATTTGAACTAAATGTTTGCCCTTAAAATTAATATATAATAAAATAGTTATTGAATAGGATAATGACATGTCAAGAAATATCTCTTCATTGGCTGCCACAACTGGACTCATCTGGTTCATCTAAAACAAAAATCGCAAAATGAATTGTAATCAAAATAAGGTGTTATCTTTACAATTAATACTCCAATAATTGATAAAGCATGAAATATAACCAAATGGCGGCGCATGAAAGGTGAAGCATCGATTTTTTTCAAAATTTTCTTACTTTGATTTGTCATGAAAAAAAAAAAGTATACTCATATGATTACAATTTTTTAATGTGATACGGTATATGCAGAATATAATCTAATCTCAATCTTAATCTTTTCCCAATTGTACATCGTATGTATAGATCGTGTTGCTATTAATATAATATTTAAACTTAAGAAGATCCTTGAGAAAATTATTTTATACCGATCAGCTATCCCAAACATCCTAAGACATTCCCTCCAAGAACTCCTGCAAATAAAACGTATCTAACGAAGGCGGGAAAAATTGTGTACGCTTAATTTTCATCGAGCGATCGCTTTATATTCTGACCAGAGTCCAGGGTCTCGTTCAATTACCCTAGATCGATCCACCGCCACTTGCGATATTTTACATTGTACGGGACATTTGAAGGGGGAAAGAGCGAGGGAGACGGAAGGGGACAAAATGCGTAACGAGCTGAATTCGAACGACATTTATTCCCGACAATTAATCCGTCATTTACGCGAGGCGTGCATGCGGCGCGCACGGCCAGTTAATTGCGCTATTTACAACGATATTTATCGTTAAACGATCGGTGCTCCGCGGGGAACTCCGGGATAATCGACGACGTCGCATCGTTCGGTAAGCGACTGTAACTTCCGCAGTTACACACCGGTCGAAATTAAGCCCGACCGGTTGTACCTCCGCGTTGCGGAATTAACGTCAACCTGGCCGCCCGCGCCCCTGATAATCGGCGAGCGAAACGACGAGCGAGGAACTCGAAAACACCGGCGAGAGAGAGAGAGAGAGAGAGGAAGGGGAAGCTCGCGGATTCGGCCCCGCCGGCACGAGCGATCGCGCTGGCGTCCGTAGTGGATTCCGGCGTGAAGTGTGTGTCACGTCTCGGAGGAAACTCCGGCACAACTCGCGAAACGGATCTCTCACTGTAACTTGGTCCCAAGAACCCCCCTCCTGCCCCGCTGGTTCGACGTAACGAGATGTCGCTGATTATGCGTCCGCTGTTTCGGAACAGTGTCTGCCTCGTTCTGCTCGCGATGACGGCGTTCTCCGCGCATTCCGGAAGGACGATCAGGGCACTGGCTTTCCGCAAGGGCAGCACCTTTTTCGTAAGTCTCAGCGTCTTTCCCCCGAGTCTCTGATTCATCCTCCGGTTACACCGACGTTCGGCCGGGTTCCGTTCGTTTCGAGCTTCCGAGCTCAGATCGGCAGATATGCCTTAGGTTTCGCTCTGGAGGGAAGAAATGTCGACGCTTCGGTCGGAAGACGCGAATGGTTTGGCGATTTCTGGGGAGAAACGAGAGCGAAGGACGATTGTCGAAAGAAAAAATGCGGGCGTTGCACTAAGAGAATATTATAGCTCCCTTTCGTGTGAGTTCTTCTCTGTTTTACTATATTTCATGTTAGTGCAGAATTAGACTGTAGTTGGCTCGTGTTGCTGATGGACGTGAAGCAAAAGTTTTGATAGTAGATTCTTTACTTCTTTACTTCTTAATAAAGACAGAATGTCTATGTGTTCCTTGGTTATAAAATTCTGTATCACTTCCATATGTGTAAGTAAACATTATTATTATTATTATTCATTTTCCACATATATACTCGTATTAGCAAATCATGTCCTCCAACAATTGACGTTGACTATCATATTTTTTCAAATATTTTTGTTAGTAACTTTTTAATAATAAGTAATTAATAAGTAATCGGTTCGTCAAGCCATTTTCTGAAGAATTCTTTTAAATCTTAGCTGCATATCAATAAGAATACTAGGAAAGTTACTCAAGGCGACGTTCTTGACAACATTGACAAAAGGATTTAGTAACAATTACCAAACGTTTAGTTAAATACTTTTAACTAAATCATTTTGTAACTGTAACTAAATTATCTAGTTACCAAATAACTTACGAATTTAGTTATCAATAATTGTTACCAAATCCTTTTTCAGTAAATATATGTCAAAGTGAAGGTTATCGGCCTCGGATTCGCCGATCGAAATAATTAGCATTTCCGCTATCAAATTCTTTCCATATATACAGTGATAGAAAATTAAAAAAATAGTTATTTTCAACCATATCCACTTTTAGATTTCAACTTTCAAAATATTTCGGAGAATCATTTTTCCAAATAAATGTTGCTGTAATGTCAATGGTGATAACTTTACATATTATTACTAACATATAAAATGTAATTAGCTCCGAAAGTAACTATAATATTTTACCGGTGTATCCGTTCCGAAGAAAAAAGCGATCGGATCGGTCGGCGAGGTTCCATACGAAACCGATGTAATATTTGGATTTCGCGGATGTTCGAACGTAATTAAGCGGCCTGGTAACGTGTAAGTGTTCCGACCGGATCCGTGTGGCTCGATCAGCTAAAGGATTAAAGGCACAGACGTGCACCGTGCCGCGGGGAGGCGAAGATCGCAATATTCTCACAGAGCATTCCGCGAATGATTGTTCCGCTTTGGTCTTCTGCGCGTTAAATTGAAATTCTGACGTATTGCACAGAGTAGCGGATGTTCAGCTTGTGCTCGCTCCCGATGTAACGCGAAAAGGATAATCCTCCCATTCGCGCGGGGAAAAAAAAATATATATATATGCATGTATATACATGTGTGTGTGTGTGTGTGTGTGTGTGTATGTACGTATGTATATATCACTGCGAATATTATTCGATCGAATCCATCGCGAAGAATGTTATCGGAAATACTCCGCATCCCCGGCGCGGGGATGATATATCGGCAGATGATGGATATTATTTTGGATTAATTACATTCTCATTATCCGCGCACGAACGCAAAAATGTATCGTCCGCGAAGAATGCGCGGAATTTTTTACGCAAATTCCGCCCGTGCAATCATTTGCTCGGATTATTTCAGTTTTTCTGCCGAATTTGAGTCACCCTCTCTCCACTTTACTCCACTCTACTTCCTCTCCCTCTCTCTCACTCCTCTCGCACACGGCGGGAGCGCAACCGCTCGGCGAGTTTCAATATTCAAATGCCGGGAAAGGTCGGTGGCGGCCGCTTTTTTCGTCTTTCGCGAAACAGCTGCGTGCGCGAAACGACGCGTTATGAAAATACTCGTTTTGCGCTCTCTCCCCCCGGTAATTTATACGATTTCGCGTCCAGCTACGTCGAATGTAACGCGAATACATTATAACTTTTATCTTTCTGGAATCGTTCGCGCCCGTCACACAGTCGCGATATTAATAAAAATACGAATCGATCGTGTCTGCGCCAGCAAGTGGAGAGGGGGGATTCGTCGGGACATGGTAAAATCGTGCGGGAATTCGTCTCGCGAAAAAAG